TCAGCCAGCTTTGCTGGCTGAGGAATTCTGGGAGTTGAAGTCCACAAGTCTTAAAGTTGCCAAGGTTGGACACCCCTGGTTTAGATCAAATAGCTTAATACTCCTACGTAGTGTAAGACAAACCCACAACTCGCTATGGATAATAAAGCTCATTTGGACCAATATTTACTCCACAAAAAGAACATGTTTTCTTCCAAATAAATACCTGCAGGGAGGGGTCTCTAGAAATATAAAAATAGGGAACAACTTGCTGAAAATCCTGGCTGACTTTGAAGATTACTTTTGGCTTTGTAGTGTAGTTGAAGAAACTGGCTTATGCAACGTGTTTAACTGTAAGAACTTTTCCTGATCCTGTTACTTCTCCTTTTTGCTTTCCGTAGGTCCATTTTGCCCTTTTTGTTGGAAGTGAAGAGGAGAACTTATGCAAGTTGTACTTGTCAGTGTGAATAAGAGTGTACGCTTCCATGAGGGAGAAAACAGTTAATGTGTGAAATGATGATTTATTTGTTTCATTTTATGTACCATTAAATACCTGTACACGTATGGGTAATGTATAATGTAAGCAAGTATGCGGGTAGCCATAATGTGCAACGTACGTCCTTGTCTGTTGTAGAACTCTGCACTATCACTAAGTAATAACAGAAAGATCCTGAAAACCCCTTATCATTATATAATGGTATTAGGATTTTTGCAACCCAGATGTGTGGGTGCTAGTAAGGTTATGTTGTTCTTAAATGAAAATAGGAATTGTTCTCTTGGATATTCTGGGGTTATATTCTCATACCTGTGGCCGTCCAAACTGCGGAGAATGCAATTTAGATACGAATGTTTGCAGCCCAAATATAACAGACTTACCTTTTGGGGAACTGCGGCTTGTGGCAAACAAACAAAATATACAGATGTGTGTTGATCAAAGGTGGACCTCAAAAATTTTAGCAATGGGTTCTCTGCCCGGTTGCTGGGTGGGCGTGGACATGGTAGGCGTGGGCTCACCAGCCTCCTGCACCATAGCATGGGGGGTGGCTTTGCCCTCCCCGGACTCCAGAGGCTTTTTTTGAGCCTCCGGGAGGGGGAAAGCAGCCTTCCCGAACTTCCAGGAGGCCCGTTTTTCACCCTCCTCGAGCCTCCGCGGGCACCCTGCACTTACCTGCATCCAAAACGGGCCACGTGGTGACTCCTGGGAGGGGCGGGGCCAGCCAGGAGTGAGATTTGGGGATTCTGTGCAGAATCTTAGCTAGAGGATCTCCCAAACTCCTGCAAGCCCCCAGTAGCCCACCCCTGGCATTGATAGGTACGACAAAAAATGTAACACATGCACATATTTATTGCCATGACTGCTCCCAGTTGGAAATTCTAACAGTTGTTAATATTTGTATGGTGTGTTTGTATCTGTGCAGTGCGTAAATCTAAGCTGTGAAAGGTGGACATTGCATAAGGTACAAAACCCTAGTATGACCACACCTGGAATACTGCAACCAGTTTTGGTCACCATATTACAAAAAAGATGCTGAGACTTTGGAAAAAGTTCAGAGAAGAGCAACTAAGATGATCAAAGGCCTGGAGACTAAACCTTATGAAGGATGGCTGCAGGTTTTGGGCCTGGCTAGTCTAAAGAAAAGAAGAATTAGAGGAGACATGATAGCAGTATTCTGGTATTTGAGGGGCTGCCACAAAGAAGAGGAGGTCAAATTATTCTCCAAAGGACAATAAATAATGGATGGAAACTAATCAAGAAGAGAAGCAGCCTAGAATTAAGAAGAAATTTCCTGACTGTGAGGACAATTAACCAATGGAACAGCTTGCCTCCAGAAATCTTGGTTGCTCCGTCATGGTGGTTTTTAAGAAGAGACTGGATAATCACTTGTCTGAGATGGTATATAGGCTCTCCTGCCTAAGCAGCGGGGCTGGACTAGAAGACCTCCAAGGCCCCTTCCAGCTCTATACTATTCTAGTATTCTACATACATACATATACATACACATGGGTAAAACTGGACATAGAACACTGTGGACAGACCAGAAAATAAATACATGGATTATAGAAAAATAAATACATCCAGATACAGGTAATCCTTGACTTATGACCACAATGGATTAAGTTACAGTGGTCATGAGTAGACCAGTAGAAGATCTGAGTCAACATCAACTTGATAACACATCATCAATTCATAAATATAGGGGGAGGGGATTGGCTTAAATTCAGAACTGTCTTCCTTTCAGATAAATGCCAATTTAAGCTATAAATGCCGATCTATTTACAGGTTGATTAAAAATATCAGAAAAAAAAGGAACACAGAGGAAGAATTCAAGTAAATATTAGCAAAACAAACAGCGGGAACTCCAGACATGTTGTTCCTTTCCCAGCAGCACAAATGAGCTTTTTCCCCCCATCCTCCAGTTTGCTTGCCATTTATTATCTCACAGTCATCTTCAGCATTTTAAGAATGCCAAAATGCCAGAGGCTCCTTCCACAGCACAGCATAGGAAGGTAGTTCTTTTTTCAAGTGGTTTTCTGAAACCCAGCATTATTTTCCCCAGTGGCCTTCAAGTCTACAATTGCTCAAAATACTTACAAAGTAGATATACAATAGTTAAATCCTTGAAAAAACCCTGTAAGCTCCTTCTTTCCTTCCTTGCCTCCTTCCTTCCTTCCTCCCCTCCCTCCTTTTCCTCTCTTCTTTTCTTCCTTTCTCCCTTCTTTCCAAAAATCATGTAAAAAGTTCTGTAGGAAAAATGAGAGCAAATTTAATGAAAAGCCTAATGTAGCCAGGAAAAAGTAGGATCTCGTATTTTATGGTGTATCAGAGCTGGCCCATATATTCTAGCTAGCCAATGGAGGCTAAAGTAAGAATATTTGCTGGAGAAGAGGATTTCCTAATTGAGGAAACATTTGTTTCAATAACTTTTAAGGTAGTAACAGACAGCGGAGCATGTGGACCAGGCTGAATTTTTTTTTTTTTTTTGAAATCAGTTTTCCAAGTCCAAAAACTAGAAAAACACAAACTGGTGAATTCAAAAATGGTTAGCGTCCAATTGAATGTACTCAATGCTGCTTTTCTAGAAGAAAAGGCAATGCATAATATATGCAGCACTTTTTTTTTATTAAGAAATAATGAAGTTATCTTGGATATGGAGCAATGTTCCTTTAACCACAGAGGTGTGCAAGATTTCACTTTCTGTCTGGGTAAGGCTGCCAACCAGTTATCTCTGTTCTTATTATCTCTTGTGGACTGCAAATCAGCGAGGTTTCACAGGATGCTAACATGTACCGATTAGCAATGAATGGTTTTACCAAATCACTTGCAGGTTGTCAGGGTCAGAAATTTGTGCTGGCTCAGAAATTCGTGCTGTGTCAAATCGCACCCAGCACAATTGGTATGATGTGACGGGAGTCTGTGTAGCTCCAGTTTTCAGAACATGAAAAGCAGGAAAAACAAAACCTGGGAAAATGTGACTGTAGGAGTGTTTCTCCAACCATAAGGGTCCATGAAAAATCCTATTCCATGTTTTTCTTCTCACCGGTTGTGTTTGAAAGGAAAACATTTCAACTTAGGCAGTTTTCACTTGAAATGCAGCCTAAAGCAAATTCTGAACAGAAGCCACAAGGCTGGCTATTTTAAGGTGGGCTACGCTGAAAGCATGCAATTTCACTAAGCCCACTATTTTGGAGACCTGTCAGTTGAGATGGACTCTCAAAAGTTCTAAATCAACTCTAATTATAATCAAGAAAAACTATAACAATCGTGCACAATCAATATTTACATAAACTTTATTAAAACAATTCATGTTCATGCATTGTTAGATTAAATATTGTTCTGGCTTTTCTCCATCCATTTATTTTATCCTAGTACCATTCATTTTTTTGATGTGACGTCTTCAGATTGGTTACTCAAAAAAAAAAATCCAATGTGATTTTGGCCAGGGGGGGAAAAAACCCTTCACGTCAGTTTATTTTGTGAATTTATATTTTGGGTTAAACATTTTGAGTAATGATGCCAGGGTAGGATATATAAATAATCCAAAGGTTGCTCATCTTTATTAATTCAGATGAGCTGAATACATAATTACTGTAATAACTATCCTCTTTACTTCCAATGTATTCATTAAATGCAGACACTATTTTTAATGCTTTTAATTTCTCTATTTCACAATCTTTAGATCTGTAGTTATCATTAATTAATGTACTGAATTTAGACACCTCTCCAAGAGTGATTTGGGGCAGCTTACAATTTGAGGTAACATTAAACACAGGGTAACATAAATGAGGATTTTCAGACTATGAAAACTGCAGGCTAATGAAATAATA